TAGGGTGAGATGCTCAGGTACTGTTCAGTTATAACATGTTTTATATACACTTGCTACATGAAAAGCATTATAGGAATGATTCCTGTTATATTTATATACTTTCATTTCAGAAGAATGACCAAAATTCCATGCGTGATAATACTAACCTTGTGAAAATAAATGCAGTGCTCACCCTGATGAATATCATGTTCATGTTGTAGTGTTTAGTGTTATTTAGTGTCATATTTATTCTGGAAATACCAATGAATAATCTGCTCTGTGTAGTACCCTACTAAGTGCTGGGTACATAGTATTAAAATAAGTGTCAAACTCACTCACAAGAGAGTGAAATACCTCCTACATGGGATGAACTGGCAATTCATTCTAGAGGAAACAAGATGTACTTTGAAGGATGGGGAAGAGGCCATTCTGTAGAAGTGGGTTTGGAATTGAAGCAGTTGTGGGAAAGTTTGAGACGGGAAATAACACAGAGAAACTGTATAGAGTTTGAGGAGAGACAAACCCATCAGATGGATAAAAGACCTGTTTTCCTAGTCACTGATAGTGTGGGGATAGGGGGTTCTTTTTGGTCAACAGAACCCTAATTTCAACTGATACTTTGAATAGAAGTTAAGTAATTTTTCTATTTTTAAATGTTTATTTATTTTTGAGAGAGAGAGAGAGATGGGGGGTGAGGAGCAGAGAGAGAGGGAGACAAAGAATCTGAAGCAGGCTCCAGGCTCTTAGCTGTCAGCACAGAGCCCATCACTGGGCTCGAACTCATGAACAGTGAGATCCGTGAGATCATGACCTGAAGTCAGACGCTTAACTGACTCAGCCACCTAGGTGTCCCAATAATTTTTCTACTTAGATATTTTTATTGATAATCATTTTGAGTTAAAGAAATCTACAAACACAAAAAAGTCCAACTCAAAAAAAAATTTGAACGTGGTTAGTATAGTACAGAAGGGTCATAGAAAGAAGTAGTATAAAATTAGAAGAAAAGGATGAGCCATCACCTGGTCCTGGAAGACCAGGATAGAAGGTTTAGACTTTATTCTCTAAGGCACTGATCTTAAAAAAAATGAGGTATGTCCCTTTTGTAAATGAAGAACGAACCAGTGAATAAGCAAATACAAGAACAGGTTTTTTAAAAGTCTATTTTCCTAAACATAAAAATCACATAAACAAAACTTGCAGTATAGTGCACACATCCAGCAGCTATATGTGTATAATTTGGAAATAAATACACATATGGATGTATGTTCAGGTTTTTTTGTCTAACCACAAATGCCTGATTAAAAACTCTGGAAGTGGTTGCTCTAAGCAAATGGAGCAGAGGCAAATGAAACTTCTTAAGCAAGGAAGTAACAGGATCAAAGCAGTGATTTATGAAGACTATTCCAGTGTCTATGTTTAGAATTGTCCCAACATATCACTACCCAAGAAAACAGAATGATTCCATCTTTGGAAGTCATTTTTCAATACACCCAGGATTGTTAGAGCCTCTCTCACCTTCACCATCCAGTAAAAGGATGATTTTATACAAAGTGAATATTTGGGATCATTTTAAAGAGTAAAAATTTGGAATGTTATTTCATTAGGACAAAATGCATTAGTACAAAAGAACAGACATTTTCTCCCTTTATGCAAGCATTGGAATTGAGGCCCTGAGAACTGCAGAGTATAATGAGGCATTTGCCTGTGCAGTAAACTACCCAAGTACCTCTTGTGCTTCATCTTGGTTAGGGAAAGGAGTGGCAGTATTCTCCCATGCCTGAGAAGGCTGCCTAAAGGCATGGTTTTATAGGAATTTGGCCAGCTTCCTCTTCTGGAAGGAAGTCCAGCCTGCTTTAGGTCACTATAAGGTCTAAGCTAGTCTCTGTGCAAAAGAAAGAGTTGTGTGGGCGTGTGAAAATTAAAGTTTCTTTGGCAAAGGAGAGTGAGAAGAGCCTGGTATTTAATCTTAACAATTAGCAAGCTTGAGAATATCTTTAAAAATCAGGAACTGAACATGCTAAACATGGAGTAAATTGGCATTTTAATGCTGCTAAAAGGGATGCAAATACAAAGAGCACAAATCAGAGTTATCTGTTGTCTTTTAGATGCTGACTCTAAATAAGACCTCATATTTTAAGATTATATTATAAAATTAAAAATGATAAAAGGTGTACTGACATTTAGGTTTGAAAACATATGTATTACTTGAGAAAATATGAAAAAGTTTCATTAAAAGTAAGAATTTAAAAATGTATATAAGACAAGTGGTTCTTAGTCTATGGATCTGTGCTACTCAATATAGTCACCACTAGCCATAGGTGGTGATAATTTAAAATTATACTTATAGGAAGGAAAATGATATAAAATTAGAAATTTAGTTTTTCCAGAACAATGGCCATATTTCAAGTGTGGCTAGGTGCTACAGTTTTAGATTGGTCTTTATCATAGCATTAGTATAGGCTAATTTTTATATCTAAAATAAATCAAAATAATTTAAGAAATTATAATAAAATTGTGAACATATTATTTTTACATTTGTGTATAGTGTACAAAACATGGTAAATATTTCATTTTCACGAAAGACTACTAAATTCCCTTTTATTTTAGAGATGCTGAAATGACACCATTTTGATAGGAGTTTTACATATGACAATTGAGCTGTAGATAGTAACAACTTAGTGTTATCCCTGTGATTAATTCACAGCGTACCCAGCTTGCAATAATGGAATTGCTACAATGCTCTGTTATCATTTCCTCAATTAAACATGGAAAAATACACTGAACAAGTATAGAAATTAATATTCATTTGGCAATCTATCACATTAGCTCATAATCATTTTGAATTTCTCAATTACAACTGTAAACCCTTGCCTTATTCAGACTCATATTAACAGAATTTTTCAAACAAAAGTATGAAGAAAATCTTTTAAAACCTATCTGTAGTAAGTTTGATAAGTAATCATTATAATTAGTGCTTTTGGTGAAGATTTTATTAGAGGACTTCAGTTTGCTTCTGGTTAAAAAGTCTGTATAAAATAGTTCATATTAAGCAAAGTTTAAATATAAGAAATCTAATGTAGGACCAAAAAGATAACACAATTTGATTTAGCAAAGCGATATTGAGTGATTTAGCCCTAATGGACTTTAGGAATCATCTTACGATGTATTTTAGCCTTAGTGAATTTAGGTATTATTTAATCCAACCACCAACTTTTACAGATGAAGTGATTCAAAAAAAAATATATATATATATATTGCATTATAATATATTAAATATATTAATATATGTAATATATTACAAATATATTACACACACACACACACACACACACACACACACACACACACACTAAGTGGCAGGCCCAAAATAGACCCTAGTTTTTTCCAGAATACCAAGGCAAGGGCAAGGCTCTTTGCTTTTTGTTCTCTTGTCAATAGCTGCAAAAAAGGTGACATTAGCTTAGCAAAAGCAAATAGAATCCGATGCCTTGACTTATTAACCATTTGAATAGGGAACATGGTAACTTCCAAGGTTACACATATTTCTTATCTGACATTCATGAGAATAAGAATAAATGTCCGCTAAACTGCACATAAATCATCATAAAATAACTCTCTTAGACATTAACAATTAGAGTGGTAGTCAAAATGAAAACGATAAATCCAAACTCTTGACTTAGCATACAAGACCTTGAACAATCTGAATCTAACCTAAATTATACTGCTTACATAGACAGCAACGCTGCTTTAGTCAGTAACACTCAGGCCAACGCACATTTACTACAGTTACCTACTATGTGTCTGGAATTGTTCCAGATGTTAAGGATGGTCATGGAAATGAGGTGTTACTACTGTTTTCAATGAAGTGAGTAAGATGAAGAAACAAATCTTTCTCATTTCCTTGAGGCTATCAATTTTGTAGTAAAACAAAATAAACAACTAAAAAAGCTAATGAAGTCCATGACAAACATTTCTGCTATGGAAATATGTCAGATGGGATCAGTTCAGGCATTAAAGAGATAATCCACGATCTGAATTTTAAATGATGAACAAGCATTAGCTGCTTGAAGAAGCCCAGGAGAAGGAGTTAGGAAGACAGCCCAGCCCAAATCTCTCTGGAGGTTTAGAGCAATTTATCTCATTGCCTCCTCCACATTTCTTAGATGTTCCACAGTTTCTTTAAACTTAATATACCATCACTGAACTGTTGAATTCCCGTCTTGCTGAAATCAGTCTCTCCTTGCTACTGTCTGGCACAAGCTCAACAACAGGGCTTTTCCTTGACTGTTTCTCTCACACACTATACTTTCATTCAGCTCCCAGATACTAATTCAACCTCCCAGAGAGCTTTCAAATCCATTCTTTTGGTCCCTCTGCTCACTTTCACAAATCTTATTCATGTTCCTATCATCTTTCATTTGGACGACTGCAATTACTTGCTAGTAGGTCTCTCTTCATGCTATGTTACCACTCTCCCATTCACTTTATGAAAAAAAGAGGATATTTTAAAAGGCAAATGTGAACATGTCACCCTCTAGCTTTAAGTTATTTGAAAGTCTTTCACTGCCCTGAATATCTCAGAGCCCTGATCTGAGAACTGACCTCACTAACCTCATTTCAGGAACACCCTTTACTATTTACAGCAATTAGAAACTTCTTTCAGTTTTTTTTTTTTTTTTTATTCCATTAACTTCTCAATGCCTCTGAGGTCTCTACATATGTTAGTCCCGCAGCCTGAAAACCTACCATCACCTTCTTTTTCTTTAATGGAAAACTCCTATTCAACTCTCAGGATTCACCTTTTTTAAAAAAATGTTTTATTTAATTTTGAAAGAGAGAGAAACAGAAAGACAGAGAGACATAGAATGAGAATAAGCAGGGGAGGGGCAGAATGAGGGAGACAGAGGATATGAAGTGGCTCTGCTCTGACAGCACCAGCCCAACGTAGGTTTGGAACTCACAAACCAGGAATTGTGAGATCAGGACCTAAGCTGAAGTCAGACGCTCAAGCAACTGAGCCACCCAGGCATGCCTCGTGCAGGATTCATCTTAAATGTCATCTCCACCAGTAAGTACCCCCAAACCCTCCGCATCTAGTTAAATAGCCCATCTTCTGTGCTCCTTCTGTTTTCTTTACTTCCTTTGTATAGTATTCATGCTATATTCTGAATTTACTCAGAGTACTGAAGCAGGACCCACTTTATCTTGTATTCTGCTATATCCACTCTGGCACATGGAATAGGCTAATTATTCAATGGGAGATGTAATTTCTGTGCATTATTTTATCTGTAAAATGAATGCTAGTTTAATAAATTATACTTGAGGGCTCAGTTTTAAGCTTCTCAGATGCTATGATAGAGATTATGACTATTTTAGGCTCATGAATTTGAATGGACAGCTCATAGCTTTCTATTGTACTGTTTCTTTTAGACATTTGACTGTGAGCTCACTGTGGTCAGTTTTCGATTCTTATTCACTTCCATACTGCCAGACCCTTCCACTCATAGGTACTCAGTCTTTTGCAGAGGAATAAATATTACATATATAAAGTACGAAATAGAGTATTTCCCAAAAATCTATCACTTTAAATTTCTCAAGATTACAATTACCTTTAAGAGAAAACTTGAATGTGTTGTGAAATAGCAGTTTCAGGAATACTGTAAATTTAGCAATTTTTTACTAACTGTTTAAAAATATGTGCTATGGGCACATACAAATCTCACTAACCTTATTTTTCTTCTACCATTTCAAATGCAGAAAGCCTTCAAATCTCAAATAGAAGTTTTTCTGAGTATAGCACAGGCCATGTTTTATACTTTCATTTGAGTAGAAAGGAAATGGACTATTAGTAGACAGTAAATGGTAGATGGAATTTGACTACTCCCAGCTGCCCTCTACCATCAGCTCTTATTCACTAAGTAGGCTGACTCTCTCTATGCTGCAAAATTTAGGAAGCAAATAGATGCATTCTCAGGATGAAGGCTCACACCTCCATATATTCAGAGTGCTTTCGTGCAAGGAAAAAACAGAATCATTTTGGAAAATAAATTAAATGACCTATTAATTGGGTATTCTAAAAGGTAAGGACACTGGGTGAAACTGATGTTGGTTACATCAAGAGATAAGAAAAAAAAAATCAATGCTAGGACAAATATCAACGGGACCAGAAGGGAGGAAGTAAGAATGTGGAAGGAAAATTATGATTTTTCTCTTAGTAGCAGAATATATATATACTCCATAGTGGATACCCTGCATATATGAAAGTATCTAATATACACAGATATGTTATTTTTTATGAATACCATCAATCATACTTATTCCCCGGGATACAACTATTTGTTCACTCCACAGTTGTTTTTGTAGGTAGTTGGCTATTCTAACTACTTCAGTTATGTTCTGCTAAAAGAAAACATAGCATAAATAATATAATGTTATAGGCTGAGAAAAATCCAGAAAGTATCATTTCTCTCTGTAGACATCTCAAAAGGCTCTTTCTCTGTATATGGAAGAGAAATCCTACCTGCATCTCTTTGGCTGTGCTATCAACTAGCAGTAGCGCTTGGGAGGATCACATAACTTCCTTAGTTCCCATATGTAAAATGAGGCACTTCATTATTTCACTTATAAAGTTCTATGTGCACACACCTAATAAATTTATCATGCTCATAAGATATGATGAGTTCATGATAGAGATGTGAAATAAGCTTCATACATCCTGACATGTTTATAGTATCAACCTTTAAGTGCATGTATATAGATTTATTTTTTCTTGTAGCAACAGTACAATACCCATGCCTTTAAAATAAAGAGGTTCCTTTTTCCTTACATATTTAAAGTCAACAAGTTATATAAAACTAATGAACTGGTAACTGTATTCAGAGTGAAATTAAAATAAACACAAAAAATATAAGGGATTGTTTATATATCTCTTTCCTGGTCAAACATATCAGTATTCACATAGGCCTGCTGAAAAACTTGAATATTTTTCCCTTTATACTGTTGGCTTTTTAAGTTTATTTATTTATTTTGAGAGACAGAGAAAGAGAGAGAGAGCACACATGAGAGTGAGCGGGGGGAGGAGCAGAGAGAGAGAATCCCAAGCAGGCTCTGTACTGTTGGTGCAGAGCTCAATGCAGGGCTGGATCTCATGAACCTAACCGTGCACCATCATGACCTAAGCCGAAAGACAAAATCAAGAGTGGAATATTTAAGCATCTCAGCCACCCAGGCACCTCTCCCTTTACATTGTTTAGGACCATTAGTTCCAACTAACACAATACCATGTGTTTAACTATATGTTAAACTTATCAATATCTTAATGGCAAGATAAATTACTTTTACCGTAACAATACCTATTTCTATATTCTTTCTCTTTCACACTCTCCCAAACTACAATTTCAAAGCATGATGTCTTAAGAGGAACTTATAAAGGTTTTTACTCTTTTATTGATCAAATTTTAAGGATCTGAGCCATTGGTACTTCTAGGAGTATGAGCACAAGTTATTTATTTCTTGTTGATCCTTGCTATTTTTCCAGCCCTAGGAATGGGTTAATATGTACTTGTAGTGATAAAGTCTCTCTCTTTTTTTTAAAACATTTTTAATGTTTTTTTATTTATTTCTGAGAGAGAAAGAGAGAGACAGCATGAGCAGGGGAGGGTCAGAGAGAGAGGGAGATACAGATTCTGAAATAGGCTCCAGGCTCTGAGGTGGCAGTCAGCACAGAGCCCAACATGGGGCTCGAACCCACAAACTGTGAGATCATGAGAGCTGAAGTCGGACACTTAACTGACTGAGCCACCCAGGTGCCCAAGTCTCTCTCTTTTTTTTTTTAAAGTTTATTTGAGGGGGGGAGGGGAGAAGGAGAACCAGTGGGGGAGGGGCATAGAGTGAGGGGGACAGAAGATTAGAAGTGGGCTTTGTGTTCACAGCCATGAGCCCACTTAGGTCTCAAACTCGCAAATCATGAGATCATGAGCTGAGCCAAAGTCAGAAGCTCAGCCAACTGAGCCACCCAGGTGCCCCAATAGAGTCTCTCTTTGAATGGCTCATTGACTGATTTGTATTTGATTCTAAGATGCCAAACTGTTAAACATTAATTTATTAATGGCATTTCTGGAGAATAGAGACACAACCTTCTTTACTAAGACAAGTATGTACACTGACTCTAGCACTCAAATTTATAAAAATGAAAATATAGAAGAAAAAAAGTATGAGTTAGAAAAAGAAAATATACATGTGTAGTTATTAATATATATGCATATAAAATATTTTCCTCTGTATATTAATACCTACATACATACCTTTCATTTAGTCACCTAAACACAATTTATTATTTTGGGATTGTAGAAACTGATGCTAGTAACCTGAGAAAAGTAGTACATGGTGTAAATTTAAAGAGAGAAAAATCCTGTGTTCTAGATTTTGAATTTTTTAAAAAAAATTTTAATGTTTTTATTTATTTCTGAGAGAGAGAGAGAGAGAGACAGCGTGAGCAGGGGAGGGTCAGAGAGAGAGGGAGACACAGAATCTGAAGTAGGCTCCAGGCTCTGAGCTGTCAGCACAGAACCCAACACGTGGCTCGAACCCATGAACCGGGAGATCATGACCTGAGCCGAAGTCGGACGTTCAACTGACTGAGCCACCCAGGTGCCCCTGTGTTCTAGATTTTGATCCCAGAATTGCCAGTATTTTCTAATCTATGTGACCTTGGGAAATTATTTATCTCACCTAGTTTCCTCACTTGTAAATTGAGTATATTAATACTCCATAAAAATTTAATATGAATTAATGCACAGAAAATGTTTAGGACAAATGTTTATGTCATTGAACATGTAAGTAACATAGTTTTAAAATGGGATCTTTTTCCTTCCTGTTTCAGCCAAAACCTTTGAGATATTAAATGTCAGCAGTTCCAGTAATACAAAAGTGAAAAATCTAGATCACTTAAGTAGAACTTGCAAGGGAAAGGGGCCTAGGTTCTTGGCTGAGCTGACCAGTCACATCCGACCCATAAACAAGTGGAGAGGACATGAATAGTCATTGAATATGAATGGGGGAATTGCATCAAAGAGCTGTCCATTAGAAATGACTTCCAACTTTACCCTCTCGAACAGAGGAGAGGTATCCTCTTCCTTCATACAAGAAGATTTTAAACTGTTATCCCCTGCAATCTGTGGGGCTCAGAACCTAGAGTTGGCCCCATACTTTAAAAGAAAACACACACACACATATATATAATATGAGAAGTCTGGTTACTCACATAGGGAGAGAGCAGAGTCAGAGCCAGGTAGCTTCAGAAGCTTTTTATATTCCCATTGGAGATGAGCACAAGGATGCCTAAGTGTTTCTAATACACCAGAAGTAAACAAATGGAACAAAGTGGACTGGGTGGCATAAGATGCTAGCTATATTTTACCTCAGAGAGAAGAGTACATGACTGTTTCTCACAGATCATAGTGAAGACTGTGGGACAAGGCTCAGTGCCAATTCAAACATTCTATAAGAAGACTGTGTAGAAAAGGAAGGTGATCTCTCCTCATTCCAAGTAAAATGGAAACTACTGGATTCCAAAGAGGGAGAAAAGGAACCTAAGTGTCCCTCTGAAGGAAAGCATATTGTTTATGTCATGGGGAATACTGCAGAAAGTTTCCAGCAGTTTCAAATGCACTCAAGGAAAGGAAGAAACATGAATTACCTAGCCCAGAAAGAAGCTGTAAACACTGGTTAGAAACAGAGGTCATCAGTGCTCCATGGCTGCCTCTATTTCCTCATTTACGGCTTCCCTACCACGACCTTAATGCCACCTCTCCCACCACAGCAGATCAGACTCTTGGGGCATGAGGTGGAATCTGGCCAAATGGGAAGATAAAGGAATAAGCTCACCAAACTTTCCAACCTTGCCTCAGGCCATCAAACTGAAGGAGTCCTTGACTGGGAAAGAGAGATAGACTTTTTGATATAAAGTTTGGATGTTTTAAAGTTCACTTATTCTAAATCTGTGCTATTCAATATAGCAGCCACTAGCCATCCAGACTATTAAATTTAAAGTAATTAAAATTAGGGGCACCTGGATGACTCAGTTGGTTAAACATCCGACTTTGGCTTAGGTCATGATCTTTCAGTTCAGGAGTTCAAGTTCGACATGGGACTCTGCTAACAGCTCAGAGCTTAGAGCCTGCTTTGGATTCTGGGTCTCCATCTCTCTCTGCCCTTCCTCCACTTGTGTTCTGTCTCTCTCAAAAATAAACATTAAAAAATTAAAAAAAATAATTAAAATTAAACTAGAATAAACATTCAGTTCATCCTTCACACTAGCCGGATTTCAAGCACTCAGTAACTACACATGCCTCTTTTTTTAGACATGCAAATACAGAACATTTCCATTAGCACTAATTACTAGTATTAATTACCCAACTGAGAATTTTTTTTGTTGTTTCCAGAAGTCATCAGAAGACATACCTCAGTATAAGCAGATACATGATTTCACAGAGTAGAGATAAATGGGCAGATATGGAGAAGAATAGGTGATCTTCTGATTGCATTCTATGAGTTATAGGTCTTCAGTGTACCAGCTATACACATATGCACACATAGACACATTTATATGTACACATACATGCTCATACACACACACACACACACACACACATATGTATATATGCAAAACTCTCCACCCTACTTAAAAGTAGCAATCATTATTTGGAATAATGAAAACCAAATGTAGTCTTGTATGTCTGTCTACCACCATATTCATTTTTTTTTCTAGTTAGACAATGATTTTACTATGTGACTGCATAGTCACATGTATGCAACCAGGGCAGAGGCTTGTGGATAACTCCTATTTCCAACTGTGGGGAAGGACTCGTTTGGTCTTATAATATCAAGCCAACTGGTGAATATGGCTCCTGATCAGAATCAGTCAGAATTTAGCATCCTTATCTTTTCTGTTCCTCTCAAGATATTTTCGAACAGCAACAACGTTCTTTTTTTTTTTTTTTTTTAATATTTTTATTTTTATTTCTAGGGGAGAGAGAGAGACACACACAGCGTGAGCAGGGGAGGGTCAGAGAGGGAGGGAGATACAGACTTTGAAACAGGCTCCAGGCTCCGAGCTGGCAGTCAGCACAGAGCCCGACGCGGGGCTCGAACCCATGAACCGCGAGATCATGACCTAAGCGAAAGTCGGACGCTTAACCGACCAAGCCACCCAGGCGCCCCAACAACGTTCTTAATCAATGGTAGAGATCCTCAGGAAGATCAGGACCTTTGGACTTAAGAATTCACAAAATGTTCATGCCTGTCACAAAACATACTTGTGCAACACTATGTGAGTCTCTCAGGATCACAATGATTTGTGAAGGAGTCAGGCCTTTCTTGGCCAGTTTGTAGATTTGCTCCTTCCTGTCATCAGATTTCAGCTTTAACCAGGTAGGGATGCTGGGGCAGTAAGGCAGAGCCCCCTGGGACAGGCCCTTCCTGCGAGCGTGCATGCAACCCATAATGGCGGGTGGTCAGGCAGAGGTAAAAAGAAAAAAACGAAAAAAACAAAAAAACAAAAAAACTCTTTTTTTCTTTCTTAGAAAATTTCAGGTAGAGTGAGAAATTATTAAATTGCCAGTAAAGGCATTTAAACCACATAAAATGATGACATTCACAATGTTCTAAATATTTGTTCTAAATTTTAAAAATAATCTTAAAAATAAAAATGATACTTACATGTAAATATTGTAAAAATATTGTTATAGGATTGAAAATTTGAAAACTATTTACAAGTCTATTCTTCCAAGCTTTTGTGAATGTGATTTGTCTTAAATGTTAAAATAATCTAATCATTAACGTGGATAATTCGGGTGCTTGAAAATCTTGGATCCTCATGCTTTTATCAATCATCACAGTTTTCTTTTTTGCCATGTGCATAATCTAGAGAGAAGGTGATTAGATTTAGTCTGCTTACAAACACATTTTTTTAATCCACTACTTTCCTAAAATTTAATTTGACATATTAAAAACATAAAATCATATGAAATACTTCATCATAAACACCAAACTACAAAAAAAATATTCTTTGCACATTATTCCATGGAGAAATAAGTGTGATTTTTCTGTTGAAAACATATGGGAAACTCACAAATAGTGCTTTTGCAGGTGTTTTAAATGGGAGTAATGTTGTTTATAAAATCTCCAGGAAAATGATAGCATGTTAGTGCCAGAGATGCTAGAGCACTTAAAGTCTAATCCCTCCCTTAGCAGTGTAGAAACTGAGACCCACTGGCACACGAGCAGCAATCTAGGATGGGGGTTAGAAATGTGTGGTTTAAAATGGGACAAACGAAATACATGAGCTGACCCTGGTATGTATTTGCTGGCAAATTTGGGTGAAGTCATCTAACATCTCCAGGCTTTATAATCTTCCCACATAAACTGAGAATAATAATAGAATACTGGCCTCTTAAATTTCTTACAAGATACGGATCATAATTATAACACATACAATTGATGTTAGCAATCATTTTTCTTCATTTAGTGTTTTAAATTTTTCTAGGATCACCTGCTCCAAGTCATGTGGCAAAGTGGATGAAATCATAAGCCATTCACCTTCCTCTCTGTGACCTCAGCTCAGGGATGCCTCATCTGTTGGCAGCTGAGGTCAGCCCTGCTGGCCTGTTTTTCTCAAAGCAGACCTTCAGTGCCAGAGTAGGTAGGATTAAGGAGATGTCCATTTCTCAGCTACCTTTGCTTCTAGACTCCTCTTTCACAAGCCTGGTTGACCTCAGACCAAAAAAAAAAAAAAAAAGTGGTAGCTTCATCCCAAGCCCTCTCCATTTCCTGTCTCCAAGTAAGCGACATATTTTTCAAGAGAAAAATATGTCACCTCATATATGATTTTTGTGTGTGTGCGGGACTTTGTATACAGACATAGGCTATGCCAGTCTGAAGCAAACTGGAGCTAAATCAATATGAAGAGGATAAGAAGATGGAAGGATCAACGACTTAACCAAGAACCATTCACTAGAGTGCATAGCCTGTACTGGGGAAATAAAATGGCTGCAGAAGAGAGAGAGGATATTGGAGCTGTTCTTTCTATATTTAGCCTTCTAAGTACATAATGAGTCCAGATATGCTTCAGGCAATGATCAGTAGACATAGCAAGGCACACAGATTTGTCATACAAATGAGGGTATATCACCTGACCAAACACACAAAGGTGCAGTGTTTAAGGGTAGAAAACTTCAGAGCTGAAGCAGCAGCCAGTATGCAGGTTCCAGTGCCTGACAGATCTTGGACAGCGTATGAAAATCTGGCAGGGCTAAGTATCAGATGTGAAGGGAGGGACCCTGATCCTGAGGCTCTAGGGTTTATATGCTGAATAACAGGGGAATCACCAAGCTCTGCTTTTCTGTGCTCAGGAGCTGCAGTTCCACTTCTACAGTTGGTTTTTACACTCTTCTTCTTAAACCTCAGCACTGAGGTACGGTTGGTATCTAGGCCTTATGAATTTTAGTTCAAAATTGGTCCCTCCTGCTTTTCTTTAAATGGTCCTGATGTTTAAGAATGAATGAACACTTTCTAAAACCTCAGACTACTACAAACCAAATGTAAAAGAAAAAAAAATTACTATACTTTTAAAAGTTACCAAAGCCATTATCTACATTAAGTTGCCATCCAGATCGTGGAAGAATAATTTCAATCCATCATTGGTTTTCCCCACTCCTGTTATGTTTAGGTCTTGAGTATAGTAGTATCATTGCATCAGAGGAAGAGAATGACTTAGTCCTCAGAGTCATCACCTGTTTGGCCTCTGATGCAGTCAACATTCTTCTCTCGGATCCTTGATGAGTAAGTTATTCACACAGTTACTATATAATCCCTTGGCTGTAGAAAGTTTCTAGCCAATATATTTCACTCTGGATGTCAGTGGTTGTACTCATTTAGGGGCAAAGATGGAGATGGGGAATAGTAAGCTTTTTTTCCATATGCCACAGGAGCTACAGGATACTCCAAAGTGCTATGTACGGCCTGTCCAATTAGATCCTTCATGCAGATATCTTTCTTTTCTTACACAACTAGGCTGTGGGGAATTGGTTTTTTTTCTATATTGTATAGACAAAATGGCTTTCTCTGGGGTCTTTGACTTTCCTAAATCCTTAGAAGATTAAAAAATATATAATCCAGTAATTTTGCCCTACAAGGGACATTCAGCATTCTCAAGAGACACTTTTGAGTATCATCATTAGGGAGCTGGTAATGGCAGCTAGAGACAGGGGTTCAGAGATGCTGCTAAACGTCCTGCAGTGCATAGCACAGCTCCACAACAAAGTGCTAATCAGCCAAATATACCACTAGCATTCTTTGGAAGAAACTCTCAGCTAATCTCAGGGGGTAGAAAACCTAGTCCTGACATTACAAGTGGCGTGTGCCTTGACACACCGTAGTCCAGTTTTAAACCTGGGCTTTAAAACTTAGAAATGTTTGCTGTGGTTCAGCCAATGTAACGTTCATGAGCCAATAGGTGCTCTACGGACTAACAAAATGGTATTGGGAAATATTAAGGAAAATAAATGCATTCATTTTTATGGAAAAAGATATCCCACCATAGTAGGAGCTCCAAACTGGTAGGTAAAGCATAAGACTAGAAAATAGGTGATAGTTTTTATTTAAGAGCTTAGGTAGATACGATTCATTCCAGAACAATAGGTTCCCTGTTAAACTCATTATACTCACATTTGTAAAGAAAAAAGAGTAACAGAACTTACAAAACAAGCCAAAACTTTAGGAGATATTATATTCAAAATAAATGCATTTGCATTCCATAGGTATTAGCAAAACTGGATAATTTCCATGTAAAAAGGGCAATAAACTTATTGGCCTTCAAGGTAAGTCTTTAGTACTAACCCTCAGAAAACTCAGTATTGGAAAGTAAATAAAGACTTGGAAGGCCTGTCCTGCATGGTTGCATTATATTCCTTTGTGCTAACTTTACATGTGAATGGCTTGCTTTAAGAGCCTTGGCCCTTGGCTTCTTGAAAAGCCCCAACATTTTCCTCTATCTTTAACTCCTATGCTCTCTTCCAAGATCATCACTTTGATTTGTCGTCAGGAGCAACTTGCCACACCTAAAAATACTTCCATTTCTACCATCTGTCATCACTTCTTAACCTTTCATACCACATAACGTTATTGCAAAAAATCAAGATCTCCAAACTGACCTTGGCTCCACAATTCTGTCAGTCTGTATTAGTTCTGTCTCTAATTTACTAGCTTGCATTCCATAATTAATTTCTGCAATTACTGGGTATATTTCAACTATTTGCTCTTTTTCTACTATGCTCATCTCAGTTTTGGTTTATCCCCCAAATTATCTTGATTGCTCCTGCAGCCACTGATCATAGCTGAAAGAAAACCACATCAGGTTGACTGTTTATATTCATGACCTTAGGCTCAGATGGAAACTAAGAATCTTCCAGACATTCTACTCTGTTTTCTTTAAATATTTATTGTCCAGTCTCCATGGTGAGTATTTCCTATCTTCTTCTATATTTCATACCCAGTCATAATTCCATCTCACTCTCCCTAGCTAAAGGCCTTGGGTCAAGCTTCATTGAAAATACCAAAAACCTATCTTGTTCTAAGGACTACTTACCTATTGAAACAAAAGTAAATCAATTTTTCCTTCTACTTATACTTTGTACCCCATTCTGTATTCACTCTGCTTTCTTTGAAGTGAATATTCTGCTTCCTTGTGTTATACTGACTCCTCAACCCTCACAGTCTTCTGTTTTTTTTCTATCACTTTGAATCTACTTTGTCAAAATGACCAACAATCTCCATTTTACCAAATTCGATTAATACTTCTGCATTCCCATTTTACTTGATATTTCAGAGCTGTGGGTAATGTTCTCCTTACCTTCTCTTTCTGCCCTTGGCTTCTGTGACATCTGACTTTCTTGATTTTCTTTCTATTGCTCTGCATTCTTTTCATTTTCCTTATTCTCTCCCTTTTACACATCTCTACCATGAACCACTTTTGTTCATCATCTACACTCTCTCCTTAGATAATCTTGAGTACCTATAAATTCTAAATACCACTATACTGATGACTGTCAAGTTCCACTCCCATTCTCTCTCCTGAGTATCAGTCTAATAGATACAACAGCCTACTCAACTTTAATGCTTAGGTGTGTAATATAAAATTATCCTCAATGCAATACCATCCCCCATTTTTATCCATATTAGAAAAAGGCACTAACTTTTAACTCATTTCTTAGGATAAAATCCCCCTAATTTACCCTTCTTTTTATCATCCAAATCTACTCCACAGTCAGTTAGTACATTTTGTCAATTCTATTATATATAGAATTTTAAATTCATCATAACAGTATTTTCACTGCCCTAATTTAAATAATATTCTCTTATCTGGACCCTACTTATGCTTCTAAATTTGCCTCCCTGTTTTTCTTCTTGTCCTTCAAACCCATTTCCTTAAAAAGATCAGAATAATTTTTAAAATGATAAAACATCTTGATCTTGGACCTCTAGACTCATAGATTGGACAAAAATAAAATTCTGTTGTTTAAGCCACTCAGTCTGCAGTATTTTGCTGTGGCAGCCCCAATAGACTGATATGAAACATATAATAACATGAAACCTTGAGATGTGGAAGGTTCAAGTCTCTTTTTATTTAACAGATTTTTTTTAATGTTTCTTTTTGAGAGAGAGAGAGCAAGCATGAGTGGGGGAGGGGCAGAGAGAGAAAGGGAAACAGAATCTGAAGCAGGCTCCAGGCTCTGAGCTGTCAACACAGAGCCCAATGCAGGGCTTGAACCCACGAACTGTGAGATCATGACCTGAGCCAAAGTCGGATGCTTAACCGACTGAGCCACCCAGGCGTCCCTAACAGAATTTTTTTAATGTTCATTTATTTTGAGAGAAAAAGAGCATGCACATGAAATAAGGGGAGGGGCAGAAATAGAGGGATAGAGAGAATCCCCAGCCGCACATGGGGCTCTATCTCATAACTGTGAGATCATGATTAAAGCCAAAATCAAGAGTTGGATGCTTAACTGACTGAGCCACCTAGGCGCTCCAAGCCTCTTTTAATTTTAATGCACCCACCTCTAAATTTTTTATTAATGGGACTCCATATCAGCCTACTCAAGTGGCCTGTTTTTCAGTTCCTGAGAATTAAGTTCTTATTAAGTATAGGGAATCATATATATGCTGACTGAGCTGAATTAGTGGAAACTATATGTATGGTCAAATTACTGTGGGTATATTGGTACCCTCTGATCTCCATATTATTTTAACCATGTCATTTACAATATGATTAATTTGATATTAATAAATATTCACTTCACAAAAGAGAGAAAACATTATAAAATTTATCTGTAATTTATTACTTTCCACTTAAATGAGAACAACTTTCCAACTCTTATAACTTCATCTAAACTCTTACCATGTCTACAAAGGCCCTGAAATATCTGCTGCCATTTTCCTTTCTCTAAGTTCATGTTGTATCAGTCTCCTCCTTGCTCACTAGGCTCTGAACAGCTTCTTTTCTTCCAGTATACCAAGCTACTTTCTGTCTTAGGGCTTTTCACTTGTCTAGATTATTTTCCCATGCCTGGGGCACATGGCTGGCTCAGTCAATAGAGAATGCAACTCTTGATCTTTGGGTTCTGATTTCAAGTTCCACACTGACTGTAGAGCTTACTTTAAAATATCTGTCCATTTCTATGACCAGTGGCTGACTACATTTTTCCAGGTGTCAGCTAAAATATGGTTTGTTCTGAGAGGCTTTGTCTTACTATTCTATTTGATGCTTTATTGTGCCCCACCAACAGCATTATCAATTACTTAAGCATATGATTCACTTTTGTTTTCTTGCAAAGGCTTATCATATTCAGTGATTGTTTTGTTTGGTCTATTGCTCCATCTCCTTGAATATAACTTTATAAAACAGGTACACCATTCACTACTCCGCATTTACCACAGTGCCTGATATAAATGCTGTGCTTAATACATAGATTTCTAACATTAATCCTGCATCTTTAAACTTATCTTCCAATTAATATACTGTTTATTTCAGGGAGCCTGGGTGCCTCAATTAAGCATCCGACTTCAGCTCAGGTCATGATCTCACAGTTCATGGGTTTGGGCCACACATCAGGCTTTGAGCCAACAGCCCAGAGCCTGGAGCCTGCTTCATATTCTCTGTTTCCCTCTCTCTCTCTCTATTCCGCTTCCCTGCTCGTGCTCTGTCTCTCTCTCAAAAATAAGTAAACATTTAAAAAGATAAATAAACCAAAAGCAGAATCAGACCTATCAGTACAGAGAACTAATGTATGGTTACCAGGTGGAGAGAGGGGCAGGGTAATGGACAGAATGAGCTCAGGGTTGTGGAAGATAGAGACTTCTAGTTATGGAGTGAATAAGTCATGGTAATAAAAGGTACATCATAGGAAATACAGTCAATGGTATTATAATAGTGTTGTATAGTGACAGATGGCAGTTACACTGTGGCAAGCATAGCATAATGTATAGAGAAGCTGAATCACTATGCCGTATACATGAAGTACACATAGTGTTATGTATATCTGAAAGGAACATAGTATGTCAAATATACTTAAAGAAACAAATTAAAATAAAATGAAAAATACAAAAAGCTCATTCTTTTTTTATGAACCTGTTTTTATTTTTTTTTAACTATGCAAATAATTTAAGCTTATATTATCACAGATTACCAAGGCAAAGCTAACTGCACCAGTGATTATTAGTCCAGGATTTGGTAATAAAATATGCTCAACATTTGGACATCAAGTTAATTTATGATGATACCTGATTAGGACACAAAAGTCCTACACAATTATTTCTCCCTTTCTCTCTCCCTCCCTCTTTGTGTGTGTGTGTGTGTGTGTGTGTGTGTATAATAAAATCTATCCTATGGTTCTTTCTGAAATTGGGTGTTTTTCTTTTGTATTTATCACTAAGTGAATGTGCTTTGTGTAGCATAAAGTATAGAATTGTTGTTCAATAACTACTATACAATAAACATTTGAGTTGATCATCTTGGTTTCCATTTGGAGAGACCACAATGTGACTGTGGCTATTTGATACATATACTCACAATCAAAGGCTGAGAAATAATTACTAATTATTTGCTATGTATTATAAAGAACATATTTTTTGATGTCTCATTGAACAAGAGAATTATCTCTTAGTCATAAACAGCAAGGGAGTTATTATTGATCTTGACTTTTTTTTGATCTTGACATTTTTTAAGATGCTTGTCAGTCAAGTGAGATGCTTTATGCAACATTCTTGTTTGTTTCTCCCCACCCCCCAGAGGAATATCTGTGGCAATTTTATAAATGAGGCACAATCTTTGCCTTACAATTCACTGAAAAAAAAAAATAAGACCACTCAATGTATGTCCCTTTACAATACACTTTCATTTTTATTTTTCTTTTCTATGCTTTTTAACAAATATGAAAAATTTAAATATTTTCCTTCCAATTTTGGAAGGTAACCTGTTAATTTTTTGCTCGCCTTTATTCAGTTGCTTGTTTTTTGCCTTCTACTATATAAAGCCCTCATTCTACAGAATTAAGGCTTGTTTGCCCTACTCTCCCTTTTAATCACCAGATTTCTCACATGTGTGGTCCACAACCTCATGTTCCACTTTCTTTCCATCTAATCTTTTTTTAAACTCACTGAACTGCATTTTCCATTCTCACCACCAAGGCTAAGATAATTATCCCAAATTTGGCAACTGTACTTTCCTAATTCCAAAATCATCATCCTCCTCATCATCTCTCTCTCCTCATACTCCCTGACACCACTGTTAACAACAGTTACCAATTCCATCTGAAAATTGTTTCCTCTCAATGGTATCTATAAAAATTTGTTGTTTTACTTCTAAAACATACTGAAGTGGCACTATTTTTTTCTCCATCTACAGATTTCTAATTTTCTCTTCTCTAGAACATAAGTGAGCAAGTCTAATTAAGCTGCCATTCAAGGGAAAGGTTTAGGTGGTGTTCTATTGGCCACAGAGGTGTGTGTGTGTGTGTGGGGGGTGTCTTATGAAGAACCAAGCACCAAAAGGGACAGTAAGGACACATTCAGTAGAATATATTATACTTAGTCTTAAAATATACTGTGTGAAAAGGCATCTATTTATAGCACCATAGGCTTTAAGTATAAAAATTTCATTAGAAAAAATTTGAGGACAGATAGTTAGAGGGTTCTGTTATGTCTTTTCCCCTCCTAGAAAGAGAAGAGGTAACTGCATAGATAATAGTCTTAAAAGCTTTTAAAATGCTTTATTCTGAATATTTGATACACATTTATCTTGACCTAAACTCCTATTTAAATACAAATTGGAAGGCAATGTTTTGTTACTCTTCTGGGTCATAGTGTTTTCCTTTGCAATGACATCATCCAAAACAGTTTAAGAAACTAAATTCAGATGTCAGGAATGTGCTTCCCAACCCTCACCCCTGTCAAAAATAATAATAATAAAGCATTTTTACTAGGAAACCAAAATGTAAATAACCCTTTTTTCTTCCCATAGAATGATCCAAAGCCATTCCCACTATTTTGAAAACTAAAGCCATCAAAATGATACTATACTGTGCAAAGGAGGAAAACACAACCTTGGATATATATGAAGTTCATTTTTATCTAAGAGGTAATATAAATCTTTGCAGCTGTAATCCTCAGTAAATGAAATTAAAATGAAAATAAACTATTGAAGCCCCTCATATGACAATGACCCCATTTGGCCTTGCATTTCTCTCCCTACCCCCCACCTTACTTTTACATATCCCGGAACATAATAAGCCTGCCACCACTAATGTTATAAAGTAGTAATTGTTCCTAATTGGTAGGGAGGCGACAGACCATTCTAGTAATGTTGTGAAACTGTAAGAAAGGAGGAGTGAGAACATTCACAGGCCCAGCAGTAATTATCCACTAATTTGGCCTGTTTGTGTGGGGACAGCTCATTATAGCCCTTAAGAAACCTCAGAATAAAGAGGGAAAGTAGGTAGGAGGCAAGGTTAAATAATTAGTGTTCAGCAGATTTTTTTAAAGATTCAAAGAATGGGATTAAAGGCAGGAAATGTGACCAGAGTAACAATTAAGAAATAGTAGAACATTCTGAACTAAGTAAGTTTTATGTTTTTGTGGGAGTAGGGGTATATAAGAATCCTATATTATGGTATAAAAAATGACATGTCATTTTTATTACACTCTTTCAATTATGATCCTGATCATCCCCTTACATTTTATGGTGCCAGTGTCATGCTTTATAAGAGATTTATTCTCACGAGTCCTAAAAAGATTTTCAGTTTTCATAAAATAATGCATAACAAAGTTTTCAAATAATTTTATCTTTCATATTTGTAGACTTATTTTGGGGGTGGAAAACATATTTGTGTGTGCACATATGTACAGGTAGCATAGTACAGACTGCAAATAAATTGTTATTCAACTATAACTTTGTTAGTAAAGCAGAGTCTCCCATTTTCTCACCTATGTATAGCTAATACCTCTATTTCAAGAGTAAGCATGCTTACTTTTGGATATATGTGAAAATACACACACCTACACACAAACATTTGGTAAATGATTGATTGGTATGTAAGTGTTTATAGATTTTATAAGGGCATTATTTTTAAGTGTCCTACAAAATGTTTCTTTCTAACAACTTATGTAATTTCAGCCATATTTTTTTTTCACCTAATAGAAAGTGAGATGTAATGGATCAATGATTTTAAGTTAAACTCCATAGTTTGAAACTCAGAAGAAATGTATGTATGTCTTAACTGTATACTCACTGAATGACTTAGAGAAAAATTCCAGGATACTATACACCCCATCCCTTTGCAAAGAAGTGAGAATACAACTAACAGCAATATAAAGACAGAAGTATGTGACTGACCCAACAGATTTAAGGTATGATATGGTATTTATATAGCAAAATCATATATTTTACCCATATATGTATAATTTTGTCCTATTGTAATCCAAAATAAACTTCCCTAAAAACCTAGAGTTGGGTTGGAAAAAATATTCTGTTATTCATAATAATGGCAGGGTGTCAATATGAAAATATGAGTAAATTACAAAAAATGATCACTACTGTTTGAAAAACAATTGAGAACATAAGCCACCAGTCCTATCTATTAAAAATTAAGCACTGTCTTCATTTATTAATATAGTAACTACAGTGTATGAATAACTACATTCATAAATGAAGCTCATATCCTAAGAAACTGAAAAAAAAGTTACTTCCATTATTGCCTTTTCAAACATTTTTTTTTTTTTTTTGGTATTTCATTAGACTAGTAATTTTCTAAATTATTCTTTTCCAGATCACACTGAAATCTCAGAGTAACTCCATGGTATTTTTACAGTCTGTACTTCTATTCTTCTTCAATATCCTCCCTACAAAACAAGTAAAACATGCCAAACTGCTTTTCTCTTTAGCTTATTAAAACACTGGATTAAAGTAGAGGAGCCGTAGGTATTCCATTTTCCACTGCCTAAAAACTCCTGCTACTGAACTCCAGTTTCTGTGGATACCACAGATTGCAAATACTGTGTGAAGTCTGAATAACAATATAGGGAATGAAGATTTAATGTCTTCTTAGGTTCTTAGGCTTGATAAGAGTATTTCCTTTATGTGAGCACACAGATTATGTCTTATCTGATTCACTGGAATTATCACTGACTCTTTATTCTTCATAGAATAAGTCCGTATCCTTATTTTAATATTTCTTCTGAATATGACCAATGTAGTTAATGTATTTTGCAATTCTAACTTAGTATATATCCTCCAGTATCCTGTAAGTTGAAGATCTGGACAATGAATAGACATCTGATAGCATCAAAATATAGAGCTACCTAAATTGCAGAGTTACCACTTAGAGAACAGTTATCCTGGAGGTCTACAAGTATGAAATGGACTTTACATAGTGAAAAATAAACTGTTCTTAAGTCATTGAAATTTGATGATGTATCTGCATTTATTACCACTGCAAAAATCTTACCTAACATGACCATTACATATCCTAAAATTTGTAGATGTAGCAAGAAATGATTTTAATTCACAAGTGATTTCAAACTCACACTGATATATTAACTTTCTAAACCTGGACATGTTATCAGTGATATTATTAAGAAAAAATACTATTTTTCCAATCTAGCATACATTTTTAATGTTTATTTATTTAATTTGATGAGAGAGACAGAGAGAGAGAGAGACAGACAGAGAGCACACACACATGCAAGCAAGCACAGGGAATGGGCAGAGACAGAGGAAGAGAGACAATCTCAAGCAGGCTCCATGTGTTGTCAGCACAGAGCCAGATGTAGGGCTTGAACCCACCAACTGTGAGATCATGACCTGAGCCAAAATCAACAATAGGATGTTCAATTGACTGAGCCACTCAAGCACTCTATGTAGCATTTTTTAAATTAAAATGTGAGGTATTGGGAATATTGAATAAAATAAATACTCCTACCAGTACAACTAAAAATCCAGATAAAAGAAATAAAAAGATATGTAAAAGGCGCTCAGTAAACAGTACTTCAGGGCCCATTAATCCAAAGAAAAGGTATTATAAAATGTTTAGCTCTGACCTTTAAGAATATCTTTTCTTGGGACTTTTGGGTGGCTCAGTCAGTTAAGCATCTGGCTTCAGCTCAGGTCATGATCTCACAGTTTGTGGGTTTGAGCCCCATGTTGGGCTCTGTGCTGACAGCTCACAGCCTGGAGCCTATTTCAGATTCTGTGCCTCCCTCTCTCTCTGCCCTTCCCCAGCTTACCCTCTATCTTTCTCAAAAATAAATAAATAAATAAATAAATAAAATAAAATAAAATAAATACATTAAAAAATTTTTAAAGAATAGCTTTTCACCTTGATTATTTGTTTTTGATTTTTGTCTTTTTGTTTTGTTTTGTTCTGTTTGTTCTTGTGATAGGCAAAAGATAGAGAATCTATCCAGGTGACTAAAACATGCACAAAATTTTGTGGTGCATCTTTTTGCAATCTCAAGGAGTTAGAAAGACATATTTATATTTCAGAGGTATTTATGCAATCACATTTGTAAAAGCCAAGATTGTGGAGAGAAAATAACATTTTTAAAGAGGCATCAGTAAGATTAATAGCTAGCTCACTTCTCAATAGAAATGATGGAGGCCCCAAGACAAAGGAATGTCATTTTTAAATAACTAACAGAAAGTAGCTACCAACCTGGAATTCTATACCTAGTGAAACTATCCTTTACACATGAAAGCAAACACATGTACAGACAAACAAAATTTGAAACAATTTGTCACCAGAAAACCCACCCTAGAAGAAATACTAAGCGGAGATCTCTAAGCAGAAAATAATTCTATATAACATGGGAATTTAGGACAGAATAAAAGGCAAAGTAGAAAGTAAATATATGGGTAAATATATATGATATTGAATATAAAATAATTATTTTAATATTATGTTGTATCCAAGCTATATGCAGAATTAAAATTCATGACAATAACACAATTATTATAATGGCAATGCACAGAGTTAATGTGTCTAGTTCTATTATATTTTCTTATATATAGTTGGGCAAATGAAAAATAGTAATATTTATAGGTATAAAATCAAATTTATAAGTAATTACATTAAATGTAAATAGGCTAAATATTCCAATTAAAAGGCAAAATTTTTCAAACTGAATTAAGATAGCAATTTTTATTACATGTTGTTAAAGGCATCTATTCTAAATGAAAGGACAAAGAAGCACTGAAATAAAAGTATGGGGGGTGGGAAGCAGAAAATAAAACTGTTCCTGATATAATAATGTCAGAAAAATTAGATTGAAGACAAGAAATGTTGCCAGATTTAAAGAGGGTAATTTCATAATGATTAAAAGATCAGTTCACTAGGCAGATATAATCACATTAAATGTATATGTACTTAATAACATAAGTAAAAATTATATAAAGCAGATAATATCAGAACTAAAAAGAGTATGAGATTAATTCATTATCAAAGTAGAAGATTTTTATCCTTCTCTCAATGTGTGATAGAAGAAAATACCAATAAACATAAGAACGTGAACAACATAATTAACTAATCTGAATTGACATTGGTAGAACAATGCATTCAACAGCAGAACATATATTTTCACAGCTGTCCATTACCATAAGGAGGACTCTAAAGCAAATCTCATCAAAATTCAGAGGAAATTAGATGTTTTTTTTTTCTTTTTTACTTTAGGAAAATTAATGTAAGAAATGGTAAAAGATTATAAAACTCCCAATATTTGGAAATACCCTCAGTGTCTATATATTTAGAAAAGTATATAAAATTAAAAATAATCTGGTCCAAGTTATAATGAAATTATAGATAATATATTTGTAGGATATAGCTAAATCTGGTCCTAAATGGAAATCTATAATCCTTAAAGGCATATAATAGATAAGCTTTTTAAAAAATGTTGAAAGACATGTGTGATACATGTCACACACTGAATTAGGAAAAGAACAGAAAAATTAAAAAGTTAATGAGACAAAGAAATGAATAATACAGATAGCAAATACCTATGAGAAGTCAATAAAGCCAAAAATTGATTTCTGAAAAGACTAACAAAATGACAAACCAGGGCATAAATGTCCAAGGGGAGATGAAAACT